AAGTTTCCATTTGAATGATTATGATCCGTCAGTGATTGCTCGCGATGCAATTCTACTAGAAGTTGCTGGTGTGATAAATCCTGATGTCCCTGCTGATGTAGACTTCTTGTGGAACATTTGGTATAACCTGGCGCTGTCAGTGGCCGACTTCGATCGACTGCGAAAAGTACTCACTGAACTGTTGGAGAGGGATTTTGACAGCGACGAAAGTATCTTAAAGTTTCAAGATAACAGCGTTCTGCAGGAATGTCGGGATATATGGAAAGACTGGAGACATCTCGACCTCGAAGTGAAAAGTGTTAAAGAGGAAAGAAACAACCTGATAGAGGACATGAAAAGAGGTATAGGGTTCTGTGAGGATTCTCAGTGCCGGTCTATACTAACTCATATGGTAATGGAGATCTATGAAGAGAAACTAGACAATTTTGTGGAGCCTGCCGCAACAAATCCACTCTACACGGAAATACAACACTGGTATAGAGAAAGTTCCACGAATGATGAGTCGGAGAAAACAAATCCAACTTTGATTCGTCCATTTGTTCACAAGTGGAGACAGCATTATGGTTCGTGTGCGTTTGTGGGTTATCCACCATTGGAAAGGTAAATAACTATAGGGCCTTCTTTTCTCATTGAAATAAGCCAAATGTATGTTAACGCTCAACCAACTGCACCATTCACTGTTAATCTTCCGCTCGGAGTATTGACGCCAAACAATGCTCCGTCAACAATTCCCGCGGACATTTTGAGTTTCGTATTTATTTAAATCTATTTTCCTTCACGAGTGCAATGTGAATCATTTTATAAACTGATTCGCGACTGAATTCAATTCTAGGTTGTAAAACTTAATTTGAAAGGCCTGTCTCCAAACACGTTGACTTTAAGCTCTTTTGAGTGTCCGTCAAATATATAGTGTTTCACGATTTTATTTGAGCAGGTGGTAAAATTGCAAATGAGCCAATGTATAGATTATATATCTATTGAAATCGAGGTAATTTACTGCTGCAGAAACCTGCATATCAATTTAAGCTTTGGTGTACCTATTTGGTGAAACCATCTGCTTGTCTGTGATCTTTTTTACGCGTTTTTGATTTTTGTCATCTATTTGACAACTAGACAAATTTTTAACATGGAAACGAAGCATTGCGTTCTTTGAATTAAGTGACTCGTGAAAATTGAATTCCAAATTAGTAATGATAATAGACATTGGTAAGTATAAACCCACATTATACATAATTCATCAATAAAGGCAGTAACTTTCTAAAA